TTTAGATCTATCCTAGTTATTATTTCCTAGTTCTTTTACAATTCCCAAATGTATTATAAATACTGCTATTTTCCCAAAGTTATTCATCAATTCATACTTCAGATTTTCAGATTTTCTTGAGTTCTCTTCTTTGAGTTTTTGCCACCTTTTCTCTCTCCTAGAGAAATCGGTGTTATTCGCTAGGTGCTAGCGAACGCTCGGTGCTTGCATAGACAGCTCCGGTTCTCATTGCTTCCACGCTGCGTCACTTTTCCACCGATATTTGTTATGGTTCACAATCATTCAATTTCTAACATTAATAAGAATTTGCACAAAATAATTCTTGGGCTAATTTCCCACCTCTCTCTTTTCTCTCCATGGAGGAGTCGATTTAGAGTGGGGCTTTCCTGTATTTCTTCAAATATTATATATTTTTTTATTTCCTTCTTACCCTTCGTCTTGCTTGAAGCTGAAACAAGGGCTCTGCCGTATTGGTTAACACTTGCCTAGTAACTGTGTACTTATTCGAATATTTCTTTTTTATCTTTCTTTTTCAGGGCGAGAATCTGCAACCAGCAAAGTTGAAGAGTCTCCGAAAAACCTTATGTGAGATTATAGCAGACTGGACTGAGAGAGAGAGAGAAAGTGAATTTCGAAATTCTTGTGTGTGAGATGTTTGATTCATGCCCCTTAAATAGTTTCTGAAGAGTTATGAAGAAAAGGTAGGTGTTGGTTCAGAAAAGGCTCATTGAATAGTCACAATTGCAAACATTGTGACTGTTTAAAAGGTAGTTAATAGTTAATGACTGTTAACTTTGAATTGTGCCTCTTGATCACACTCGATCGAATCGTGACCGATTTGATCAATGGTCAGCATCGCACCAAAACCGAAGCCACCATTCGTGAGCCACGCAAAGTGTGAGCAAAATGCGCGTTATGCGGTATCAAGTCTCCATACTCTCCTCTTCTATTTCTAATGAGTGTAAATCAGTTCCTATTAAAAACCCCAAAACAAAACTTGTAAATATCCAATGTGGGACAAGTTCAAAATTGGTTTTAGTAAGAGAAAAGTTATTTTCAAAAACAAGTGTGTAGGTGCAATTTCTCATATAATTGACCCATCAAACCCATTGGATTTAATCTCTAATGAGATTAAAATCCAACAATAACTATTCTTTCATTTGAATTTATTGTTTTGTTGGGTAATTAGTAGGTTCAGTTGTATTGTAACCATTTGTTAGTTCAATTTCGTCTTAGGCTCTATTGGCTTTTCGGGAAGTTATTTATTCGTGTAAATACTTTTTATCCAAGTTCTTTTATTTCCCAATTAAATAAAACAATGATAGTTTTATCCATAAAAATCCACTATTAAAAGGGTCAACTTTATCCCATCCATGGTTCAAAGTATCAATACGCCTCTACGTATCAATAAAGGCATATCGGTACTTAGATACACACAGAATTAGTTTTCTTTTAGTTTTTATTTTTAATTTTGGCTTTTGGGGAGTTAAAAAAGGGTTTTCTTTATTAAAAAAGGGTGGGATCCCAAAACACCTGTAAATACGACACAATACGCTTAAAACGGGACGTATCGTATCGATTTTTTGAATACTCTAACTAACATTTCAAAATACTCTATTATTTTTATTCCATTTATTATTTAAAAATACTCTAACTAACATTTCAAATGTTGAATTATGTCTGAGGGGATCCTTGTTTAAGACCATTTAATGTGTGAAAGGTGTCCCATTAGACATGGTGCTCACACTCGTATCTCTGTTTTTATATATCTTTAATCTTTTACCCCCCAAAAAGATAATTGTCCATTATGATTGTGTTTGGTTGCAGTGCAAATTTATTTGTTCTAGTGCAAAATTATGGTAGTGCAAATAATCATCAGAAGAAAAAGAGAAACAGTGGGTCCATGTTTTTGTTTTCTTTTTTTCTTTATTTGCCACAGATTGTAGTCCAAGATACAGAATTTATGGCGAAGAGCACGAAAATAAGAGTTTGATATCAACCTCAAGTGGTGCACCAAACACCACCCTGACATCGTATCCTGTAARMACATGCATTCCAATTAACATCTATAAACTTGTCTCATCTCCTCTTGTATCTACGCAGGACAATCCGTGTCCTGTTTGCTAAAAGAAAGATATCTTGTCCTTGTGAGATCCAAGTGGACCTCCATTCAGAAACAAACCCATCCTATCTTCGTACTACGTCCCTAATTGCATGAGATTAGAAGATCAGGTACATGCATAGGCCCACGCTTTAATTCTGTAATTTGCAAATATAAGACCCCTTCCGGAAGGACAAAAGCTTTTTCATGAAATATTGGTCTTAAGCCGTCTGGATGAGTTCAAAACCACCACAGGAAAACCCTCCCAAAAGGAAAGTTACATTAAGGCTATGTTTGGTTTGAAGGGAAAGGTAGGGAAAGGAAAAGAAAGGTTGAAGTTTCCACTTGGGGCATGGTTTAGGGCATGATTCATATAGTAAGCCCACTGCCCACATACCTAACCAAGTAGAAAAGGATGGGTAATGGATGTGTGGAGTGAAATTAAGACGAAGAATGTGTCCCCACAATGCACTCATCATGTTGATTGAAGTTTCAGGAGGTTATCTTCATCTTCAGCAGTATAGCAAATACTTCAGTCTCAACGGTCACCAACAATTTCATAGTCTATGAGTTGGCACATTAAATTAGTCGGACCCAGTATGTCGTCTGTATAACATAACGGTTGGAAAAGAAAGGAATCCAATATTGGATGTGATGCCCCCCATACCAACATGTACATCAGGTCAGGACCACTCACGTACCCAACAACCTAGCTATCATGCCAAGTTGCCACATGACTATGCATCCCATGCAACCCGACACAAGGAAAGCTACTCTTCTCTGGCTTGTCTCCGCTTGCAATTATATAACTAAGCTATGTCCATTGCTCTCTCCATCCCCAAAACAATCTCTTCTCAGAAACCTATCTCCAGCAAATCTCTTCTTTAATTTTTTCCTCAAGACCCTTATTTCTCTCAAGTTCACACAATAAAACATGATCAACAACAGGAAGCTTCTTGCCATGGCAAGAAAGTGGCAGAAGTTGGCAGCCATCGGCAGGAGAAGAATCTCAACATCGCCAAGAACTAAACTGCAACGGGATGTAGATGAGTGCAGCGCAATGGTGGCAATTAAAGATCACTTCGTTGTATACACGGCTGATCAGAACCGTTTTGTTATTCCATTGGCGTATCTCAACAATCCCATCTTCATAGAGTTACTCCGAATGTCCGAAGAAGAGTTTGGACTACCGAGCGATGGTCCTATCACATTGCCATGCGACTCGGCGTTTGCAGAGTACATCATCTCAATGATGCAAAGACGTCCTTCAAGAGACTTAGAGAAGGCATTAGTTGTGACCCTATCTACATATCGGTGCTCATTATCTTCTTCTCTCCACCAAGAACCAGGAAATCGCCCTATACTTGTCAATGGCTTTTGAACATTGCTATAGCCCATCAGGACCATGATCTCCAATTCTTCTTTCTTTTTGTATATAATTATACATATACAAATTCTATAGCTGTATCATCAGCAGAATTTTTTAATGAAAATGAAATTGGGTTCGTAACATTTACTCATCCAAATGTATGTTAGTATATATTCCCATATCGTGAGAAGTGCCCACCTCCATAACCTAAGTGGAATTGTGATTCAGTGATTTCTGTCCATGCTATATTGCTATATATGATAAATAGCAATTAATGTTGTAAAATACCCGAATTAAAATATAAATTAAACATTTTAGCTCTAAAACTAAACCATTGATTTTATACATGGGATAGAAAATTGGGATCTATCCTTTAATGGGCCCTATCAAAAATCAATCTTCCAGAAGTCAACACGTGTTGATTATTTTTATTAGAGGGTTTTTATAGTAGTAAAAAGTTGTTTTCTCACCGTCCAAATGAAAAAAAAAAAAATGCAATCACCAAATCCGATTGAATCTTCTCTCGTAGATGACCTTCCTAATTGGACCTTAAATGGCTGGTTTTGACGTTCCTTTGAATTAATTATTATATGTAAATTAGCTAAGTTCATAATTTCTAATCCAAGTGGTGTTTAAGTAATTCAACCATCCGAATCAAATTGATCAATATATGAAATCGTAGTTAGGTATTTTTAAAATAGAAATAAATATAGAAACTTACAAAAAATGTCAAAAAAATTAGACACATTTATGATATTTTTATTAATCAAATTAAAACATAAGTGTAATAAACAAAAATTATTTTTATTGGTAATGAAAATAAAATATATAATTTAGAACTGACCAAAAATAAAATTATTTTGCTGCTTGGCAAAGATCAATAGTTCAAATTTTGGGTGAAACATGTTAACCTTTAATGTCTTAAATAAATAATAAAAGTTAATAAATTATAAAATACAAAAATGAAAAAATACATAAATTTTGCAGAATAACATTTAGACACATGTATAATATCATATATTAATCATATTAAAAAAGTAAGTGTAACATATTATAATTATTTTTACACACAAAAATACAAAAAAAGTTATAGAAAAAATTGAACATATCTATAATTCTATATTTACACTACTATTAAAAATATGAATAAGATTGTGAAACTTTTTTTACTAAAATACTCATTTTTTAATTTAGTCCATATTTTATTATGAGGTTTAAATTGTAAAATGAACTACTACTTTTTACTTCATTCAATTCCCTCTATTTAAATTTTATATTTTTTTTATAAATGAACAAAAAAATAGATACACCAAAAAGATTAAATATTACAAAAATAAGAATCTAGCCAAGCAAATAGGCCTATCAATAATACTTGAAACTTCACAACTCAATACAATTATCACATATTTGGATGAGGTGTTTATGTAATCAAATGTGGATTACCCGATTAATAATAAAAAACAAAAAAAGTACATAAAGTTTATAGAAAAAAATTGGATATGTAATTACTATCATTATTATCATCTAGAATTACCACGTTCAATGCACATGCAAATTTAGTAGCATGTGTGTGTATATACATATTTGATAATGTTAAATTGTTCTACACAAGATGGGGTAGCACGTCCCTAATAGTCCACTAAACAAATAGAAATGGTTGCATATATATTTAAATGAGCTCCACTAAACAGGAAATTAGGACTATTATTTGGACCACAAGTCTGATTTAATATAATAATATTCTTGGTCATATTTGGGGAAGTTTGTGATAGTATTCTAGCCTTTGTGATAAAAGCGGAGCTATTGTTGAGGACCTCTGGGTCTAGGGTTGCACTACACCTTGCACATGGCCGGCCATGGGTGTGCCCAACTTACTCTCTTGGTCCATGTCAGCATGCCTCTCCTTGCTCCATTACCCCCACCTTGCATTCGCCTTAATTCTCTCTCCTCTCCCATTCCCACCACTCCCATACATTAAGCTAAGGCAACAAATTCTCTCACTATTCCCAACCCAATTACCTAAAAATATTCCTACAATCTCTCCCTCTCTCTCTCTCTCTCTCATAATATATCTCCACTAAACCCATCATATTATTAATGGTTTTCAAAACTGGACCGGACCGGACGGTCGGCCCAGAAAAATCGGGAACCAGTCAGGTGACCGGTTCTGTTTTCCCCAAAAATCAGATTTTCCCCAAAATCCGTAGATTTTGGTCAGCAAATTGCTGAACCAGGCGGTTAACCGTTTGAATCGTTCGAACGATTTTCACCGTTTTTAATTTTTTTAATTTTTTTTATTTTTTTGTTAGAATGGACCGAGTGTTCAGTTCGAACTGACGGACCGTTCGACCCGGTAACCAGACCCCTGACTAGTTCAGTCACCAGGTCAGTTTTAAGAACCATGAAATTATTCCAGTCCTCTATCACCTAAAATCATTCCTAAAATATCTCCATATATTCTCTTCTTCTCAAATAGTCTCTTAATTTCGATTCCACCTCCCTATGATTATCTTTCTTCTCGCTTTTCTTTTTTTTACTTTAATAGCTTTTTTCTACATTTTTCTGATTTTTTTTTTCCTTTCAATAATTGTTTGAAAAATGGGTATGGTTTATGACAACTCAACAGGGATGTATATGAATAAAATTGGCCGCAATAGTTATATTCCACCTCCATGTCTCTTCTCTTAACCTTCTACATTTTCTCCATTTTTCTTTGTCATGAACAGAGTTGGAATAATTATGTTCCGCATCCATGTCTCTTCTCTCTTTTTTTAACCATCTATGTTCTCTCCATTTTGCTTAGTCTACCATTCCCTGTCCATATCATCCAAGCTCTTTTATAGGGCCCGTTACAAACCTATGCTATGGAGAGATGTTTCATAGGATTACATTTTGCAGGGCTTTTCAAATATTTCATTAGTTTTCAGAATTTCAAGGACTGAAACATAAGAGAGCTTGAGAGAGTTGAATTTATTGGAGGAACTGCCTTAATTATACTCAAAAGGTGTTTGTCTAATCGATACTTGAATTTATGCATGATACATTTGGCTTGATGTGTATTATCACCTAACATGAAGTAGAGAGTCACAACATTCCTCAAGTTAGGATTATGAGATCGATACTTAAGTTGCTAATTTCTAAAGATCGATACTTAAGTTGCTAACTTCACTAGCATAGTAGAAGTTTCAGTGGTTACCAACAATTTCATAGTCAATGAGTTGGAACCATTAAATTAGATGGACCCGATACGTCATCTACCTAATAGATTGAGAAGAAAGAAATCCAATAATGGATGTGATGCCCTGCTACGTAGATAAAGCCATGATTACTCAACATTCAGTCATGCCAAATTGCCAACTTCTATCTTCACTCTTGATGGTAGTTAATAATCCAATCATCACATGGCTATGTATCCCATGGAACATGACAGAAGGATAGCTAACCCTTCTCTAGCCTGTCTTTACTTGAAATTATATATATATAACTAAGCCATGCTAATCGATCTCTCCATCCCCCCAAACAATCTCTTCTCAAAAACCTCAACAAATCTCTTACTTCATCCTTGATACCTTTAGTTTTGTCAAGCTCACAATGAAAAACATGATCAACAACAGGAAGCTTTTGCCATGGCAAGAAAGTGACAGAAATTTGTAGCCATCAGCAAGAGAAGAATCTTATCATCACCGAGAACTAAACTGCATAGGGATGCAAATGAATGCAGTGAAAGGGTGGCTATTAAGGACCACTTCGTTGTGTACACAACTGATAAGAGACATTTTGTTATTTCATTAGCATATCTCAGTAATCCCAACTTTATAGAGTGATGTGGCGTTTGATTGCCCTTTTCAGACCGTTGAAGTTTGAAAATGTTGCTTTTCAGATGTCACCTATGTTCGGGTTTGGGTTTGATTAGTAGATCTGAAACCCAATTTCAGATGTCACCTATCTTTTTAACTTTTCTGATTTCAGATTTTAGATTTATCAAACGCCAACTTACTCATAATGTTTGAAAAGGAGTTTGGAATACAAAGCAATGAGCTAATCACATTGCCATGCGACTCAAAGTTCAAAAAATACATCATCTCGATGGTGCAAAGATGTCCTTCAAGAGAAGTAGAGAAGGCCATAGGTTTGACCCTAACTACAAGTCGATGCTCATTATTTTCTTCTCTCCATCAAGAATAGTTTAAACTAAAGAAATAACAGAAATAGAGAGAGAATATGAGGGAATAGACATCAGTGAATTGCAGCACTGAAGCTAGTGGTATTTATAGACTGTAGTGAAGAGTTTGGATCATACAATGATATGTACAAGATAACAATAGAAAGCTAGATAGAGTACAAGATGGATTATCTTGATCTTGATTTACAGTCCTTATTCTTATCTTTCTCATAGTCTAGATTGGATCTGGATTGGTTAGAGGTTCTGGATCCTGGTAGGATAACCTCCAGGAGGATTATCTCCAAAGCTGGTTCGGTTATGAGGGTTATCTCCAATATGCCCCCTCAAGCTGAACGTTCGAATGTGGAGCTTGGACCGGAGAAGACTGAACCGTGATGTTGTTAGAGGTTTTGTGAAAATGTCAGCTACTTAATCTTCAGAGCAGAGATACCGAAGGGATAATTTTTTAGCCACACGAAGATCTCAGAGGAAATGAAAATCAACTTCCACATGCTTGGTTCTAGCATGGAAAACGGGATGAGTAGCAAGATAAGTAGCACCAAGATTGTCACACCATACCGTGGGCTTGGAGACTGGAAACCCAAGATCAGTCAAAAGAGACTGAATCCACAAAACCTCAGTGACAATATTGGCAAAAGCCCGAAATTCAAACTCTGTGCTTGAACGAGCTACAATATGTTGCCTCTTAGAGCTCCAACTTATGAGATGATGACCCAAATAAATAGCAAAGCCACCTATGATCGACGGTCATCCAAATAGTTAGCCCAGTCTAAAGGGATGGGAGATCCATCATATGGATGGCTGAATCCTGTAGGAAGGTTGGGCGAAATTTCAAAAATTTGTTTACTCCCATCTGGGAATCCTATTCCCAATTTAGAAAACTGCATTTTTAAGGTTGGTACTTGTAACTAAACCGGACTAAATCTGAAACCAAAATTAGGGAGGGATATACCTGATACGGAATCCATGCAAGAATGCTCCTCCCGACATAGGTGTTCATGCCCAAACGGTGTACC